GTTCAGACAAGGTAAATGCATAAATAATAAAAACATTCTAAAATCCTTTACCTGACTATGGAGACTTCATTAACCGTATCCTCTACTTAATTTAGCAGCTGTTTATGATGCTTTACACAGCTGCACATTTTCACATAGCCACGTTTTGCTTTTTCAGTCCAATATGGGCATCTCAGAGTTGTTGGCTCAGTCCACAGCTGCTTATTATTGTCCTTCAGTGGCAAGTCCTTGGCCTTTTGACATGACTGCAAATCATTAACAAAAAGCATCTGCAGCAAGCTCTGCATCAACAACTCTGTCTGTTTGTTTTTATCTCAGTTGTGTATGCTGCTCTACCATGTATTAAAAAAAACAATAGAACAATGGAATAAAAACCATTCAAATAATTATTGATAAATAAATAATAAAGTAAAATTCCTGACCAAAAATCCAATAAAGGCTAAAATAAAATAAAATGGATAGATTCTTTTCTTTTTTTGGTGGCATACTGCATACTTTGGATACCCAACTCACTACAGATCAGTCACACTGTAAAAGAAATGCTCTATTTGTTCGCCTAGTGTCCAAATTTCAGTGTGCTTTCTGATTGTTTATATTGAATCCATGCCAAAGTCTGACAAAACGTTTTGTTAGATGATGTGTGTTTTGTTGTTTGCCATAAAATAAAATGTCTTAACATGCTCACATATTTGCATGAACACAAACATGCTGCTTTGAGTTTTAATTCAAACCATATTGTGATTTACTGCCCTGCCAAGAAAATCAGCAAAATAAGACGGTGCAGTTATAACCATGCCGTGACCTGAATTCTACAAGCCATGCTAGAAGGGGAAATCTATTTTTATTGCATTGTTTATTTAGCTTCGAATTAAAACAGGAAAAGTGTGTGGTCTAAAGAATATGTGCAAATGGTTTGTCAAATAAATTATTCTCATTTCTCAACAGTGTTGTTTTAATACAGATTAAAATTTAAATAAAATAAAACAAATACAAAATAACTTTTAAATTATAAATTAAACTATCTTTTTGTGAAAATACTACATGTGCAAAACTTTCGCAAAAAAATCAAAATAAATCATGCACATTTCACTAAAATTGTTGTTTTTATCTCAAGTAAACAATAAATAAAAATGATTTTTAATTCAATATAATTAAATAAATAAATACAAAAATAAACAAATAAAAATAAGCCATGTTTTTTTGAAAGTAAATTACAAAATAAATTAAAATAAATAAATTCTGAACCATTAGGTTTCTACAAAAACCTTCATGAAAATGTTTCATATATATATATTTACATATATAATTATTAGCCCACCTTTGTATTTATTTTTGTTTTTCAAATATTTCCTAAATGATGTTTAACAGAGCAAGTTTTCACAGTATGTCTGATAACATTTTTTCTTCTGGAGAAAGTCTTATTTGTTTTATTTTGGCTAGAAAAAAAGTTGTTTTTATTAGAAAAAAATATATATTTTAAGGTCAAAATTATTAGCCCCTTTAAGCTATATTTTTTGATCGTCTACAAAACAAACTTATGTTACATAATAGCTTGCCTAATTACCCTAACCTGTCTTGTTTAACTAATTAACCTAGTTAAGCCTTTAAATGCCACTTCACGCTGTATAGAAGTGTCTTGAAAAAAATCTATTCATATATTATTTACTGTCATTATGACAAAGATAAAATAAATCAGTTATTAGAAATTAGTTATAAAAGTTATGTTTAAAAGGTGATTAAAAATCCTCCCTTCGTTAAACAGAAATTTAGGACAAAAATAAACAGGAGGGCTAATAATTCTGACTTCAACTGTATACACTACCGGTTAGAAAGTGTGATTTTTAATGTTTTAAAATAAGTTTATTCTGCTCAGCATTTATTTCACTAAAACTATACAAATTGTAAAATTGTGAAATGTTATTGCACTATAAAATAACTGTTCAAAAGTAGTTTATAATTTATTTTAATAATTGTTGTTCCCCAACACTGGGAAACACCCATACACTCTTGCATTCATACACATACACTACGGCCAATTTAGCATATTTAGTTAATCTATACCACATCTTTAGACTGTGGGGGAAACCGGAGCACCCAGAGGAAACCCACGCCAACACAGGGAGAACATGAAAACTCCACACAGAAATGCCAACTGATCCAGCCGGGGCTCGAATCAGCGACCTTCTTGCTGTGAGGTGATCATGCTACCCACTGCGCCACCTTTAGAAATCACTCTAATATGAATAAGTGTTATGATTTTCGTTATTATTAATCTTAGTATTAAAAGCAGTAATTACTAGAGTAAAAATTTAAATTTTATATACAATAGGAAAGCAGTTATTTAAAATTTGAAGAAATATTTAACTATTTGGCTTTTTTTTTATTTTTTTATTACATTTAATAAATGCCGCCTTGATGAACAGAATAATTTTCTGACATCAAACTTTTGACCAGTGGTGTATATATTTTTTTTATTATAAAAACATTCCATTATAAAGAACCTTTTGTGTAATAAATAAGTATCAATGGATGTTAAAGACTCCTTTATGAGTCAATAATCCTCATAAAGGGCCTTTATTTTTAAGAGCATATATATACTGCAAAACTAGGCGAAGCAAATGGCTGCTTTATCTGATGGGCACAAGAAAAATATCCACTTCACTCTTATCTTGCATCGTTCATGCAGTCTTCTTCAAAACTGTATGTACTCACTGCTGTCTCGATGCTTGAGAAAACAGGCCACATTCATTCTTATCACCATGTTAAATTTGAGTGCTTCTTTCCATTAGAGATGACATTTACCTTCTCTCTAATCTTTGTTTTAAATTCTTGTAAAGCACTGCTTATTTGCCTACGTCTGTGTTCAAATCGAAAAAAAAGTGCATCCTGTCCTCCTGCGCAAATAACCTTGGGAGACACGAACTGATAATAAGAATACAAAGTCCTTCTGTCCAGTTGTATGGAAGCTGCACTGCTTTATCAAATCAATTAATGTCAAGCTAATTCGTTTTGAGTAAACACTTACTAAACTTTACTGCATACTGTTTATTTAGTATCATATTCATTTATTTTGGTAACACTTGTCTATTATACCTCTGTATACGTATATGTGCTTTTCATTTTTGTCAATTTGTGCATTGCTTAAAAGTAACAGCAGCTCATTGTCTGGTTATTATATCATCGTTTACATGACCAGCTCAGAAAACATTTAGTTTTTAACTATTCAAAATGTCATTGAAAGTAATAGTGTTTGATAGCAGAGCTACAGTTTTTCTCAGTCGATTTGGTGCATTTCTCACAACACTATTTACTAATTACTGCAAAAGCGTGTCACTTGCTCAAAATGGATGGCTCATTCCTTAAAAGCAAGCATTGATGTCATTGAGTGTCAGTGTCATCAAGATGAAAAGTTTATGAACAAGATCAAATGGCTTTGTCATGTTTTCATTATTTTCCCAGAGATGGGTTGCGGCTGGAAGGGCATCCGCTGCGTAAAAACTTGCTGGATAAGTTGGCGGTTCATTCCGCTGTGGCGACCCCGGATTAATAAAGGGACTAAGCCGACAAGAAAATGAAAGAATGAATGAATGTTTTCATTATTACAGTTTACTCTGTACTACAGTAAAGTTAGACATCACTGCATTTAGTGAGGTACAGTGTCTGAGTACAAGACACTAAATATGTATGTTTCATATTTTTGCTGCATATGCTCTTTGCAATTCTAATTTACAGTTTTTCTCCGTGGCCTTGGTGCATTTCTCACAACACTATTTACTTTTGGACAACAGGTAATGCATTTCTCAAAACAATTTGTCATTTGTGCAAATCATAGTAGCAGTTTCCCATTCCTTCCAACAAATTGCAAATGCTTTTGGACATGGATCAATTGCTTTTCATACAACTCTCGTCAAAAACTCCCAACTCAGATTTTATGGCCGCAAAATCGATAGCAATTTTTTTAGATATTGTGTTTTATATTGTGTATTTAAGAGTACAATTGCAAAAATACACGATTTATGGAAAGACAAACTGGAGTTTCATGGTTTTCAGAAACTGTGATTTTTACATTGACTATTAAAAATTTCAGTGCCAAAAGTTTGAAACAAGACTTTTAAGAGATGGTGGCAATTTTCACAATCAAGAGATTTACTACTATATTCCAACTCATTATCTGCATTAAATGGATTTAACAGTAATTAAAGAGATCATCTTTGAGACACGACTTTCTGTATGAAATCTGTACAAAACCTATACGAAAATTAAGAAGAAACACAAGTTACATTTTTATGAATACCTCATGTACAGAGGTCAATGAGGTGCAGAGAAGCTGACTTAAACTTGCTCAGAGAAAAGCTGTTGTTATCAATCAGTTTACTTCGCTAAATCAGTTTAACGGTGAAGGGATTGATCCAATTAGCCTATTGATAGAAGGTTGCCATGCTTCCTTGTAAAAAATTTTGTAGTGTTTTCAAAATACAAAAATACAGTATTTATTTATTTAATATATATTTATTTTGATACATGTGTGGCTGCTGTATTTTCTAGTTTATTTTGATGGACTTAAAATTAAGGTATTTGGAATTTTATTTTAAAATATATTTCAGTGTATTTTTGTCCATCCTTGGTCACCAATATTTACGACAATTCCAAGAGCACAAAAATACAACATTAGTTGCAGCAGTAACTAAATTTATAGCGCAGAACAGCCAGTCATGTGATTTCAACATGGCAACACCCTCGCCCATTAAGGGGCGACCCTCTTTTTTCAGAAGACTGACTCAGGCAAACCTTATTTAAGTGTTTCCTCAAAGTTCTGTTCATGATTTTAAAAATACTAAGATTAAAAAACGACGGTTGTTGTAACCAATACACAGTTTTCTGTCGAAAAACCAATAAACAAATTAATATGCTATTTTTTTTTTACCATTTACGTGCTTTTAATGAAGTCTCTCTCTCTCTCTCTCTCTCTCTCTCTCTCTCTCTCTCTCTCTCTCACTCACACACAGCAGACGCAGGACGTAAAGCTTGACATCATTTCTCCTCAGTACATGCAATAGTGGGTTCTGCGTTTACTCGCCCACAGTCGGTAGCGGAGAGCAGGGCGGTAAGTAGTCTAAACTTATCCCGCTTTGTAAAGGTCTGCATGTGATCTAAACCGGTTTCAACTTTATCAACCCCGCTTTGAATATAGCCTACACATGTTACTCCGGAGAATCTGATGAGAGCGAGCGAGTCTCAAGCGAGTTAACGGAGTTAAGCTGCCATCTCAAAGTTATGCTCTTCTTTCGCTCTACTTGTTTCTTAAATAACACATTTAGCTAACGCAACACCAATATGCTTTACTGTTAAACGACTGTTGGTGTTACAAGACTAATTTCGAGTCGAACACGACGACCAAGTTTACACCAACTTGAGCTGAACTTCTGAAGGGAAACGGTTTGTTTAAGTCTTTTGTAACTTTGCCATGTTTGCAAAACTTTTACTTAGATATTCGAAAGTGTTCACTAAACATCAATTGTAGTTTGTGCAGTGGCTTAAAAGGGAAGAAAACATATTAGTAACTTTTTTTTTGTCGCGTGGACGTTAACCGCGAGTGTACCAAAATTCAATGAGATGCCTACATGAGTAGCTTTTTTAACACGTAATTGGCGTTCAAGCTCAACAATTTAGTAGGTTGTTGGGTTTTGACTCGCATCCCTCTAACGAAGAAATTTAGAAGTGGTTAATTAGAGGTGTAGTCTTAGTAATTTATCATTTTATTTCCATATTTCTTAAGAAATATTATGTAGTTCAACATATTCGTTGTTGGGTGTGAATGGAGGTTTATTAATTTTTAGTTTGTCAGAGGAAATTTTCTTACCACAAAACATTTTTCTCATTCATCCTGTATAGAATATGCAGCTGGTCAAAATGTCAGATTGAATGATTCAGTTTAATAGAGTCTGTATGGTAGTAAGGGTTGTGAACTTGGTTGTGGCAGTCAAAAAACAAACCAACCTTGTTACATTGGCTCCCCAAGCATGTTTGCTGTGGAAAGCTGTAATTACAAACTCAGAGTTTCTAAAGTATATCAAAATACATTGTTCTTTACAGCTTCACTTTGCAAGTAATTTGTCTCGGTTTAACGCGGTTGTACTTGTCTATGAAAATTTAATTATAGACTAGCTTATCAGTGCCGGTACACTTTATTATGGGTATAGTTACTGTAAAGCTAAAATTTTCTTTTTATTTTTATACTGCGATCCTGATTAAGAGAAAGTTCAGCCAAAACGAAAATTTTTGCACCATTTAGGCTACTCACGCTTTCTATGATTCTAAACTGTTATTTCTTCTGTTGAACACAAAACAAGATATTGTGAAAAATGCTATAAAAAAGCATCCATTAACATCCATATTAGGAAGCAACATTCTATGGAAGTCAATAACTGCTTTTTCCAACATTCTGCAGTTGATCTTCCTTTGTTTTGAAAAGAAGAAAGAAACTCGCACTGGTTTGGAGCAAGTGGAGGATGAGTAAATTATGACATATTTTGGTCAACTGTAAATTAAAGTTCTTTCTGTTTGGCATTAAATTATGTCGTGCAATGTTACATAACAGAACAGCAAAATAGAAAACATTTTAAAGTAATAAAAGTGCACATGTCCATATTGTATATAAATTTAAACACTTTAATTTCATTAACTTCCTTTTCGGCTTAGTCTCTTTATTAATCAGGGGTCGTCACAACGGAATGAACCACCAACTTATCCAGCATATGTTTTACACAGCGGATGCCCTTCCAGCTGCCATATTTTTGGTCAACTGTATTTACTAGAGTTCTTTACAATGGCTGAGAGAACTTAACATACTGAAATTTAAGAAAAAATATGTGCAATTACAAATAATGCCAGCAAATTGAGGAAAGATCTTCATCAGTTTTACAGCATACTTGCTGCAAATTCTCACAACGCAAACACAAAAAAAAACGAGCTGCATTTTTACACAACACAATGGAGTGGAGACCCTAAAGCACAGGTGTCATACTCGGTTCCAAAAGGGCCGCAGCTCTGCACAGTTTAGTTCCAACCTTAATTTAACACACCTGATCAAACTAATTGAGTCCTTCAGGCTTGTTTGAAACCTACAGGTAAGTGTGTTGGAGCAGGGTTGGAACTAAACTGTGTATTTGTGAACTGTGAATTGAGTTTGACACCCCTGCCCTATAACGTGACGGACCCGGCAATTTATGTTATGTTTATTTAGACTAATAAATGCTAAAGACACAATGATCGGAATATCAAAACAAACAAACAAAAAAAAACTTTCAAAGATCACCTACAACTTCACTGACCAATAGGCAGGGCACAGTGATGTCTGTCATGTCTTTGGGTCACCTTGAAACATTTCCGTTGTGTTTGTTGTTTTTGTGTTATTAGAAATGCAGCGTGTTTTATCAATGTTTGTGTTGTGTGAAAATGCAGCGCATTCTTTTAATCTGCATACATTGTGAGGTTTTGCAGCACATGTGCTGTCAATCACATGAAGGTCTTTTTTTAAATTTGCTGGTGTTTTTTGTAATTGCATGCGTTTTCTGAAATTGCAGCATGTTAAGCTTTCTCTGCCGCCGTAGTTCTTACTGTTTGGCATTAAATTATGTAGTGCAACATAACAGAACATCAACATAGATAACATTTTAAAGTAATAGAAGTGCACATGTCTATATTCTATTTACATTTAATCATACTGTAATCTCATTTATTCATTCATTTTCTTTTCAGCGTAGTCACTTTATTAATCAGGGGTCGGGTCACCACAGCGTAATGAACCTCAGACTTATCCAGAATATGTTTTAAGCAGAGAGGCCCTTCTAGCAGCGACCATCACTGGGAAACAGACTTTAATTTATAACTTAAAAATGTTAATCTTATTCTTTCAAAACAACAGAAACAATATTTTACTGTGCAATGTACAAAAATATTTTGTTTAAAATGAAAAGTTTATGGTTTAATTTTTAAAAACTTTAACATGTGGAGTTTTACATTTATTTGAAAGTAAGAATTTTGAGCATTGTTATTATTTTTAAACATATTTTCTGTTCATATTTAAACATATGTTCTGTTCATATTTTTTGTATATTTATAATAATAATAAATATTATAATTATTTCTTATTAATTTCTTTGTTAGCAAAAAAAAATATTTGTTTACCGTGATTTACAGAAGACAACCACTAAATATAAATTATTATGGTACTAATCTATGAAAATGACACCATGGACCAGCGCAACTATATTCGTACACTGTTATATAAGGTATAACAAAAAAAGCTTTCCCTGTATACAAAATAAGTTTTGTAAATTGAATTTGAGATACAAACATAATTATATAATTCATGTTTTACTTTTGAAAACCTTTTCACAATATTTTACAGCAAAATGGCATTTTATTGTACTGTATACAGTAGGGTAACAGTTAACTGTATAGTGCTCCTCCCACTAAAATTGACATGTTGTACGTGTGTCTATTTTTGTTTTTAGAAGAGTTCACAAATGCATACCAAAAGGAAATGAGAGGCCCCTTGTTTTGCATTCTCAAAGTTATTCTGGCTATCAGAGAGTCGGATAAGTGTGCTATGTGCCGAGTGATATCGTGGGGGATGGTGGTCTTGTGTTTTTTTTTTTTTTTTTTTTTGAGAAGGGAGCAACACCACACGCATCTTCACAGGAAATGCAAAACTCTAAAAGCCCCCTACCCTCAGCCGTCCACTCCACACCTCACTTGAAACTCTCACTGTAGTGTTAACATGGCCTGACTCTTTAACATGCCTTGGGCAAAACAAGCCTCTCACGCCTCTGCAAGTTAAAAAGCTTTGGCTGGTTTCCAAGGCAAATCTTTTAGAGCAGGGTTTCTCAGCACCTCAGCAGTTTAGATCGCTGCGTCGTAATTGTTCATTTTTCCATTAATTTGTTCATTGGCGTTAAATTTCAGTGGAAAGTCTCAGACACTCTTTATATTCTGTACAATAAACTTGTTTGTTTAATTTAAATGACAGACTGTGGACATTGCTTCCAGGGCATATTTCAGTCTTGTGTAATTCTGCCGTCACCAACATACGTTTAGTAAACCCCAGTGACACACATTGTTCAAACTGGCAGTCAGGTATGTTTCTGTAAAATGCAAGGTGATGCAAAAATTTGTTGGCTAGATTCAAATCAGCAGTTAACATCTTGGATGCCAAGTTCAGCGGTTTTATTTATCTTTGATTTTTTTTTTTACTTAACCAACATATTCAGCACACAGGGAGAAGATATTCCAGAATTTTATGTTATTCATTCATTTATTCATTTTTCTTTGGTTTAGTCTTATGTATATCAGGGGTCACCATAGCAGAATGAACCACCAACTATTCCGACTATACTATTCTATGTTTTTACACAGCGGATGGCCCTTTAGCTGCAACCCAGTATTGGAAAATACTCATACACTTACATTCTCACACACACACACACACACACACACACACACACACACACACACACACACACACACACACACACAACACAACACACACAGTTGTACACTACAGCTACTTTAATTTATTCAATACACCTATTGAACTTATTTATCAATGCAGAAGTATGCTCGTTTTTGCAATTGTTTTAGAACTTCCGATTCAGTTGCCTATGGGAGAAATTACTAGGAATAATAAACCATAGAAAACAGTCAAACTACTTGCTCTACAAACAAGTGTTTCCATGACTATAAAGACAAAGCAGAATACTATAATAAGAAAATAACAGTTTGCAACCTTAAGCATAACAATAAAGCCTGGTTTATACTTCTGCGTCAAGTGACCGGTGTAACCCACGGCACATGCAAAGCGCGTAGCTGTGCATTTATACATGTGCGCGCTGTCTCTGTGGGTCTGCATTAACACTTCCGAAACGCTAGTTGGCAGTGAGGTGTTTATGTTCCTCTGTGTCGAGTTTCTTCGGTGCTGTTTTGCTTTTCCTGAACACTTCTGGGATGTACAAGTGGCTCAAACTCGCTCATTTTGAGGCAGAAACCGGCGGACGTACAACAACTTTAACTATGAGGTAAACGCCAAACAAAACTAACTATCCG